GATATATAAAGAATGATAAAAAGCATTTTAAGCTCACAAAGCAACCTAAATTCTTTAACCAATGTTGTCCTCAAATACATAACTTCCTCGATAAAAATCATAAATTTGAGGATAATAGGTTCATAGAGCTCCAGTGGTTATTGAATGGGTCTAAGTATAGCTCTCGTTAGCAAGAAAAGGAATTTAAAGCATAACCCAATACTTATTATAGGGCTGAACTGAATTTCCTCGTGCTGACTTCTTGTAGTTTCCAAGCTTTGCACGCAAGATTCGGACAAAGGAATTATAGAACTTTCTTTTGAAAATCTGTTAAGAGTTCTCCCATGATATTAATAAACCTACAACGAGCTTCATTGACTGCTTTACAAGAAGAGAGCCGATCAAGGAAATTCGCTTGTGCTTTGAATTTCCAGCTACACATGGCAGTGATATCAGAAGGAGTCGCTCAGATCAAGGACGGCACTGCTGAAGATAAATTGCGCCGATCTGGCCTAAGAATACGTACGCACTCACAATGGATAAGAACAAAAGGTTTGAAGTGAAGGATCTTCAGAGATATGATGAGTTGGATGAATATGGTGAATGTGCGAAAAATTTTCGAAACAGCATTATACTGTAAATTTGTAGTTTCTTGCATTGCTGAGACGGAAAACCATGTAAAGGAAGAGATGGATATTGCAATATGTATCCCAGCGAACGATGCAGTCCCACAAAAACCGCCTATTGATGGAAATCCCCTAATCAGTCACATGCGCAGCGTGCGTTCATCTTCGTGCTCTCCATTCTCTAGCCACTGTTCGCAGTATCTTTCTCGCGTTGAAAAATCTCTCTTCCGATTAGAGCTATATTTGGCACCGCTGTCCGGGCCTGATCTTCAAAAGAGCGCAGAGGCGTGGTAAAGCCTTTTCAACCAATCAACGACCAGGGGCGGAGCATGCACAGAATATAAGCGAGCGTTGCGCATAAACAGCACGCAGTTCTTCTGCGAGTTCATGGAAATAGGCCTCCATTTAAACTCCCACCATACAAGCCATGATCCGTTCTCTATGTCTCCTCGCTTTTGTCGCAGGAAGTTTTGTTGAAGGTGAGCAAGAAGCTCAACACCCGTTGAGATTTTATTCAAAAATGGTGACTTAGTATTACCATTCTTTTTTTGTTTATATAAATTAAAATGCCAAGTTGGAGGAGATGATAATGCCGCAGCATAGATATGAAACCGGTTCCGTGAATGATTAATGACTTTGAAGCAAAGTTTTTTTTTTCGCACTATCAATGACAACCTTGATGAAAATAATGTTGTGAAAGAGTAATAGTTGGATCTTCTCAATTTGCATCTTTTAGCACTTCCATCTCGTGTTCGTCGTGAGGACAAAATCGAGCGATATTGCTCTAAACATCTCGATCACTACCGCAAGTTCTGCGGTGACGATTCCGCAGAAGTAGATCGTTCTGCATCAGCAAAACTCGCCAAATTCTGTCCTGCTTACGAGAAGCACTGTTCGATGTCCAAACGCTCTTCCTCGGACTCGTCCGACGACTTCGACAACTTAGTCGTGCCTCCACCTCTTCCCAAAGGAAGCGACTTTGCCGCTCTCGATCTGCCGTTGGGCAGTCAGTCCAAGGCAGCACCAGCAGCTTCTAAGACGAGACTTACAGCTGCTATCATCGCTAGCTGCACTCCTGAGTGCACTGCTGCCCACTGTACCGACGAATGCAAATGCGCTCACACTCATCCCAAGGTACATGCGATGTGCAATCCACCATCAAACGCGCAGCTTGCCGACACCTGCCAGAAATGGTACGCGAAATGCCCCATGTTCCAGCCGGTGCAGTACTACTAAGCTGATAGTCCCGTACGAGGGTAGCAAGTATACCTGATCAATTTAGTTGTATATACTTTAACTAGACGTTAGTAGGGTGGGAGTGTTTCTAACTATTAATATCTCAAATAATCACTTCTATGACACCTTTGTGTTGTATTTGACTGTTTGTTTACCTCGAACTGCTGTATCAGTCCCACCCTATCTGAGAAGAACCTCAGATTTAACTTCGAGCGCTTCTTCTTTGTATTAAGTACGATCTCTCCATCTCTCCGGTACGCAATACAGCTTTGAGAAAAGATTATTACTCTCTATATACTTGAATTGTACTTTGATTACAAGTTGTTGCACCGATTTCTCTTCACAAACTGTTTGTGAGATGGTTTTGGCTGATACTAGTAGTTGATGGAAAAGTAAGCAGTGAAATCAGTGCACAGGTTATGTAGACATTATTCCATGAATGCGCATACCCTACTGTAATCAGATACACAAATAAACATTGCATTGAAATTATGTGTATTTGAACACAACAACACAGATAACAAGGCTGTGGGAATGGAAGCGTAATGCTATAAAATACCAAACTCAGTATGTGAAAAGCTTTCCAGGAACCCTTGACGGTTATTTTGGGATTTTCTAAGCTTGAGAACCATACGTTTCCGAGTATGGTAAATGTGAACTGAGTGGCTGAAGATGCTACTGAAATGCTTAAGCTTCAACTTTCTAACTGCTTTAGCTTCAACTTTCTAACTCTGACAGCAATAGAAGATTTCCATTCATGTATGTGGAAAAATGAAAACGCTTAAAAATTCTAAACTCAGCTTGGAAATGGCAGAATATCCAGCATGATACACGGCAAAATCGTCATTCGGCTGAATACACCTATTCTGTACTCTTCTTAGCGCTGTATGTACTAAGTCAGGTTGGAGTGCTGTAGGCTCAAGATTAGACAGTTGAGAAACAAAATGTACTGCTTATGAATGAAGTATGCCATATACACTTGATGACAAACGTTCATTTTTCGTCTGGATGAGAGAAGCTAGAGAATGGCTATTTTCCCACTTTTAAGGAAACAATTCAAAATTTTGATCAAGTATTCTTCTTGACTCTCGATGTTTCGTGATTGGTAGATATAATGGTTCCATGAAGCAGTTTTCGTAATTTGTGCTGGATATTTTCAACTGGACTTTCGAGTGATTGCAGTAAAGATATGTCTTTGGCAATGTCATGAAACTGAAGCTCCCTTCTTCTTATTAAAACAAATTTTAGTAAGCAGGCTGTAGAGCAATTTGACAGCATGTTCATGCATCTAATACTAGACTTCATACTTATTAGAGGATCAAAACTTCAAATTGAACTCAAATTCCCAAGCGAAATAAAATGTCAAACTGAGTTATTAGCTGGGCAGCGAGACTACTTGTGTCACTCGACATTGCTACAAGCTATAATCTAAGTTTTTTCCATCAAAACTATGTTGTCGATAGCTCACTCGCGTTTTTACTAATGTAGTTTACACAAAAAAAGCTGTCGCTTTTGTTAAAAAAGCTAAGTTCAAGCCATAATGCAAACTAGTTACACATCCGTAATTTGAAATTCTTTAGCTTCACATACTCAGAAACCAAGACATGTGTAATTGCGCTGAATGAAAGACGTCTGCAGATAACGTCTTCTACATTATTTTCTACTTTAGTTCGGCTATCAATGTCCAGAGCAAAATGTATTAGCAAGTACGAGCATTACTTTTGATGACAACATTTTGAATTTGTGCAGTCGCATACGTATCCCTCCCGTTGTCAGGAAAATTAAACAATGAAATTGCTGAGTCACTTCAAGCAAACCATGAGCAACTGTTAGTTACTGGAATTACTTTTCCCAGTCACTGAGCACAAGTTTATCTGAGCACTTGCACTCAGCCATATCCCATACACTCAGCCGATTTCGTTTACACTTAGGCAATCACAGTATAAGCTCACCTTTAGAGTAGTTTATAGTTTATTTAGGTTACGGTGAAGTTTTCTCTGACTGCTGCAGTTGCGAGATGATTGAAGGGTTTGTGATTGTGAAAATGTGTCCTTGTAGTATTAATAGAATACGATATATCGCCACCACTCCCGGAAGTAATTATGCAGCTATTTTTGGCCTATCGCCCATCAAGACTCACAGCTGAAAGTTGTTCAGGTAGATAACGATCAAAGGTGTTGGCTGTTTTCTAGTAGGTTGAGATAAAAAGTGTGTAAATAAACTAGAAAAAAATGTGTAGTCTAGAAGATTGCGAGACGCCCGTATGGCTGAAAATATGGCAAAGTCCATCAAATGATCGTTCAGCCTTTGATACAGA